TTATTAAATCGCGTGCATATTTCGAGATCATTGTACTGCAGTCATTATAATAACCTGATTATTAAACCAGAATTTATACTACACATAATTTTATGTAAGTATATTTGCTGTACGGTAAGTTTTTTTTAATTATAAATACCAGAATTAGGCAATAAGCGACGTGGCCACGACTGTAGTGTTTTTTTTTTCTTTTATTAAAAAGCATATCTCACTGGTGTATTAACTCAAAAAATGGACTTCATCAGAATTGATGAAAAACGAATTACTCACTTTCCGCACAAAAACAATAAAATTTATGTATGTTATAGGTTATTATAGAAACTTAAACAATTTGTCAAATATATTTAAAAATCAAACGGAAAAAATCATTTCAAATTTTTTAATAACGATTATTTTGGCCAGAACTAGCTCACATAAAGTGTGTCATTTTGAGTTAAGTGGATATCTTTTTATTTTTTCTTATAATATTCTAACGACGGTTTTTTAGACGTGTAGATAATCAAATTTTACGTTCAGTAATGATATAATATTAAATTTCACATATTTTGAGTTACAACACTATTATAATAGCAGTGCGATATTATAGTGACGCGAAAAATTGATAATAGTTGAAATATACAAATTGAAAAAAATACAATATATACATATAATATTCAATTTAATTGTGAATTAATTTTGTTGTGAAAATAGGCACGTTGTGACATTGGTTATGCGTTATAAAGGAGGCATAATATCCCCATTAAGTTAACTAGTGGTCAGATAAATTGGATGCTTATCTACAATTCGTTTATTCGCCAAAGCGGAACGCACTTTTGAATGGAAAAAATCCCGCAAAACCAGGATTGACGGAATTATTAAAATAAAATTGAATAAAAATAAACGATTCAAAATATTACTTGTAATATTTAAAATTATAAAAACAGAAAAAACAAAACCTTTTAACAATTTTTTTAATAAAAACTTGCTCGTCGTTTAAGTTTAAATTTGATATTACTAGCTATTCTCAGCTCTGTGATCATGGTATTATCATATTCCTGGTCATAATCAGACCTTTAAGATTTATAGTGAAGCAATACTGCCTGCGTAGCTGAACGGTTACCATGCCGAACTGCCACGCAGAGGTCCCAGGTTCGATTCCCGAGCCGGGAGAAAGGCCTATATTTATTTCTCTCATGAGTTTGGGTGTAATTTGTGATTGTCTATGTGTGTGTCTGTGTCACCAGCGACACAGGGTTTCCCTAGTGCGAGGCTACGTTGAGTGTGCGCGTAAAAAAAATATCTCATGTAAGGTCAGGTGGGGTAAGAGGAATATACTTTATTTCGAGACAAATGTTATAAGCTCTAGGAAGAATAAATAATGTCTTATACGAATTTCCAAATGCTCTAATCTTGCCCTGGTTTATCAGCTTTCCATGTTTTAACAATCGTTACGCTAAAACTAATATTTACAATGTATCTGACAAAAACTTTCAGGTTGTGCTAACAGTTCTCTTCCCCCAAAAAATGGGGTGAGAGGGACTGTCATCGTATTTCATATAAATATATTGTATATTTAAATATATCCGTAGTTAATTCTTAAGTAAAACTATTTCAATCGAATTTGATCTTAAAACCATTGAAATAACGTATAGTTATCAAAAAAACAAGTGAAAAACTAATTTTGGGTAAAACGAACATACAGGGTAAGGTCAGGGGTGACAAATTAAAAAAGCAAATCTGTTATATATTTTTTTTATAACATCAAGTGACGGGACGAACAAGTCGTGTGCGTGATGGTAAGCTACACACCTGTACATAACAGAACATATTTTTTTAGTACAAAATATAATAAAAGCACATTTTTAACCATTCGTTTACAAATGTAGCTTAAGTATTTTTTAAATTCGTCGTAATAGAAAAGCAATGTTTGGTCCAAAAATAAATTTATTCTTCTAACAAAATTTATTCTTCTCTAGTCACCAAAACCAGTCTCTTTGAAAACCGTTCCACTAAATCAATTGAAATTTGGTATAGAAGTAGTGTGACCACGTAGCTAACGTGCAATGAGCCATGTTTGTGTTTGTTCTTAGATTACGTCATTATCTTATGTAATTGTTTTCTTTTTTTCGACGAATATATTAAATATTCTAAAAATTGTTGACTGAAAAAAATGTACTAACAGAATTAAGCTGCTGGCATCAAAAACTACCTTAAGATGTGTGGTTGTTTACACATAAAATGTAGTTATTGTAACATCGTCAGAAATTAATATCATGTGGACGAAATCATTAATAGTATTTGATAGTAATTTATTTATATATATGTATATATATAAACTCTTTTGCAAAAAAAACGGGCACTTTTGATTTTTTTCTCTACTTCAATGAAGAAGAACAAGAAATAGGTTTTATGAATTTGACGATATATTGGAATGTTATTTGAAGCATCCGGGCATGATTCTATACGTTCCAAATTTAAAATTTGAAATTAATAAAAGAAAAATAATGATTATTGTGGATTATTCTAAAATTGCTTTACTAATGGCGCGAATTGCTGAAACGATTTTTAACTGATTACGATATTTTAAAACTTTTTGGATATTTTCTGCAAATTAAACAATTTAATCTTTCTTTTTACATTAAATACCACTTTTTGATATGAGTGATAAAGTGATAAGGGCCGGTAAAATTATAGCCCTACTTGAAGAAGGTTGTTCGCAAACTTACGTGTCTCAGCGGCTAAATGTGAGTCGTTCAACTGTCCAGAGGACTTGGCAACGGTATCAAGAGACCGGTTCGGTCAAAAGAAGACCCGGTTCGGGAAGAAAACGATGCACAGAACCAAGAGATGACCGCTTTTTGGTGAGTCAGGCGTTGCGGAATCGTAAGGCGTCAAGTGTGGACCTGAAGAAGAGCCTTGAAGAAGTAAGAGGAGTAGAAGTTAGCTTGTGGACGGCCAGGAGGAGGCTTTTGGCTGCCAATATCAGGGTTACCGCCCAGCTCGGGGCCCTAAATTACTCCGTGAGCACCGTGTTGCTCGACTTCAGTTTGCTCGTAACTGTGCTTCATGGACTCTGGAGGACTGGAATAAAGTATTGTTTTCTGATGAAGCTAGAATCTCTTTGTGTGGAGAGGACCGACGCCGGCGAGTGCTGCGGAGACCACGGGAACGCTATGCAGAAGTGTGTTTCGAAGAAATCACTCCTTATGGCGAAGGCTGCGTTATGTTTTGGGCAGCAATTAATTCGACGGAGCGTACGGAGTTAGTTTTCATAGAAAATGGAACATTAAATGCACACCGGTACATAATGGAAGTCCTAATTCCATATGCACAACCCACATTGACTGCACTTGGGGAAGATTCCATGTTTATGGGCGACAATGCTCGCCCGCACCGTTCTGGCGACGTGGAAGCGTACATGCAAGAAGTTGGGATCAGTCGCTTAGATTGGCCAGCTCGAAGTCCTGACCTCAATCCAATTGAGCATGTCTGGGATGTTCTAAAGAGACGGGTAAGATCAGTGCAACCTGCTCCACAAAACATCAGGGAGCTAAAAAGAGTAATTGCAGAAGAGTGGGAACGTATTCCTCAAAACGTTATTAAAAACATCGTGGAAAGCATGCCCAGAAGGATTCAAGCTGTGATTTTGGCAAGAGGAGGTCACACTCGTTATTAGGTTTTTACATTTGTAACTTTATTTAATTAAAAAAAGTAAACAAAAAATCTTGTCTTTATTGCCGACCACTTCTTATTGTTTGGGCATGTACATCGGTTTTAAAGAATCCATCGTTTTTTTTTTCTTTTAATTGCCCGAATTCACTTCACGCGCATTAATTTACACGATTATAAGTATACAGACTAAGTCAAAGAAATAATTTTCATTTAATTAACTCAAATCGACTTTAGAACGTAAATTTCCTTAGGTGCCCGTTTTTTTTGCAAAAGAGTGTATATATATATATATATATATGTATATTATATATATATAGAGGGACAAAATATATATATATATATATATATATTTTGTCCCTCTTCCCCCGGTGTTCCTCTTACCCCACCTGACCTTATTTAAAACATAATAATCTCATAATAGTAGGTTCCAAAAAAAACCAACCTCAAAAGTTTGTTGAATTACATCTATTTACCAAGTTTTATTGGAATCGGTTACCGGAAAATGCACGAAACCGGAACCATCCCTTAATTTGCCAACCTTAGAGGTGGAATATTTTCTTAAAATATAAATGGGACCAATACTGAGGTACCCTCTTTCCAACAAAAAATAATCATGAAAATCGGTTCTTAATTTTTTATTTTTCAAATTTTTAACTCAAAAGTTTTTGCGTGTTATGTTTTTTTTTGGTATGTATGTTACATACAAAAAACAGTCGACTTGAGAATCTCCTCCTTTTTGTAGTCGGTTAAAAATCTTGAATTAAATAAAACCCATCCAAATTATTTTTTACCCGCTTCCTTATTTATCATGTTGATATAAAAACATCCGAATATCCGACCACTCACTAGTTATAACACACCATAATTGCCGGTCCTATTTGTAGGGCTTGTAATGGACCTTTTTAAAGCTTTCTTTTACCTTTTTTGAAACTTAAAAATATAGGTCTGTTTTTTAAGTTTAAAAAAGCTTCTGGAATTATATCTATTTGCCAAGTTTGGTTGAAATCGGTTAACGGACAAAAAACAATCATCGAAAAAAGTACAGTCGAATTTTGAAGACGGTTAAAGAAAAGAATTAACACTTTTCTTTTATTTTTCAAATGTTCGATATATATAATAAAATTTGGATCATGTTACACGCTGTTACAGTCTATTTTTATATTTGGGACACTATTCATAGCGATATGATATTGTTAGGAAAATAAATTGTACCACTAGTAATTAATCTAATAATTAATTATCAATTATCTAATTATAATGATTATATTCGATTGGATCGTCTTTCAGAGTGTCATCGTTCAATTGGTATATTTAGTGCACCTTTCTAACATTAGTGCATTGTTTTTCAGAGTTGAAAACAGAAACCTGGGTGGAAGCCAAATTCCGCCCAACATTATCAACGTAAACGCAGCATCATCGAGTGACGACGGACCGTGACGTATTTATGGCCGACAGACCGTACGTCTACGACCCGGTGAGCACGGACGCCGCAGTCAACCAACAGGCGCACAGAATGGAGGAGGGACAACTTTGGCGGCAGTTTATTATCGCCGGCGTCGGTACGTTCTCAGTGATTAACATTATTAAATAAAAAAACATCAATAAAAACCATTATGATGAAAACTGGTTGATTGGAACGAGAAGTTCAAAATAATATTTAAGGATAATTAGATTCCAAATTTAAAAATAAAAAACTAAACAGAAACCGCGCGTAACCGAAATTCTATAGTGCTGTGTTTAAACTCGTTCTATAAAACAGTGACTGGACGGATGAAATCTTGCCAATTTGACGTCGTGATGAGGTATTGAAAATTAAAAAAAGCGGAAGTGAATCGTGCATTATCAGACGCGTTTGCACAATATAAATTACGTTTCGAAACAGTGGCACAATACAAGTCAAAGTTTGAAATGTCGTTAAAGCGTAAATGACGTGCACTTCGTCAATATATTTGAATTGTAAAGACTTAAATACTTGCTAATGAAGTTTTGTTAAATGACTTACATACTCTGTTGTGTGATAAATGGTAGTTAATGGCAAAACTCTATTAGCACAAGTGTTTTTGCATTTACAATGTATACACAAAGCCGTTTATCATATAATTTTATAAAGTCTTTTTTCCCTGTTTTTGAGTTAATAATATCATTTGGTGCCACTTTTTCTTATCAAACGTTTTGTAACAAAAAATTTAAAGCGCATAATATGATCTTAAATAAACAAATAGACAACTATCTGCGATGTACATAACACATAAATAATCGAGCAATAGAACCGTATCCATCATTAAATATGTAACATGAATAAATATGAATTTTAATATTACTAAAAAGTATTCAGTGATTAAAAATTTTATAAACGATAGAAGATTAGACATATAGCACAAGAAAATTCAAAAATGGAACCAACAAGTAATGTTAACGTAAGTAATTTTAATAATATGGAATTATGTCTCATTTCTTTAACGGACTGATTATTTAAATTTTAATGTTAAATCTATTGTGTCAAATAAAACATCAATAAAAAAAATTAGACAACATAACACACGTTGCTTCGATCCCAAAGTAAGTAACTAAAGCATTCATGTTATGGAAATCGGGAAACAACGACGGTACCACACAAACACCCAAACCCTAGACAATATAAAAAAAATTGTTTATCCACAGGACCTCAGAGATGGTGTGCAAGCCACTCGACCACAGAGGTCGTGTAATAAGATATTACGAGTTGACAATAAAATTATCATCCTCCGGTTTCAATTTTATACAACAATTCATAATTATTTCTTCTACATATTTCAGTTTTTTTTTTATTTATAATAAAATAAGTGCGCATTTTACCTCCATCTCATCTGATGGAAAGTGACGATGAGGTCTACGATGTAGCATGCACACCTAAATAATGCCTATTCACTATTGCCTTGAAAACGCCCAAGTGATAGCGATCGGGAAACAGATCCGCAGGCAGGGAATTTCACTCTCTAGCCGCCATATAATTGTGGAAGCGAAACGCTTCCACATTTACGGGGTGGAACCATAGGGGTGGAACCCCAGTCTACGTCAAGTCCCCCGCTGATGGAAAGGTGAAGGCGGAATTAAATTATGCAATTCTACATAGAACTAACTGCAATTGCTTCCTATCAAAATTTTAAATTGCAAAAAAAATTCTACCTCCAATGGTTTTCCGCCTTGACTGCAATGTACGATAAATGTAAAAAAATTAATTCATACGATGTTCATATTATACAACTCTTAATGTATAAAAAAATACACAACTTGTATTCTGCTATGGACCGACGTGTCGTTTATCACCAGGCAAACGACTTGTTCGTCCCGTCAATTTGCATCATAAAAAAATCTATAATTAAGGCTGTCAGCACAAAAGTGGTGTAAACCACATTAATTTGGTTTTCTACAATATAACTTTAAATGATTCCAAAGTCCATATCATTATTATACATTTGGATGCTATTGTCATGTATAAAAAATATTTACAATATTTTTTTGCACATGATATAATAGCTTCCAAATTAAAATAATTATGTACTGTGGTATAATTTTAACTGCCTCTATGGCAGAACGGTTACCATTCCGGTCTGCCACGCTGAGGTCCCAGGTTCAATTCCCGGACCGAGAGAAATATTTGTATTGACTACATTTATTTCGTGAGTTTGGGTGTAATTTGTGTGTACCCAATGGCACCCGCGACACAAGTTTTCCCCAGTGCGGGGCTATGATAGCCTCAATTATTAATACAAAGATCGAACACTAAGAAAATTTCTTCGATTCGACAGGATTCAAACCTAAGTCTGTACGCTAAACGGCTCTAGTTTGCCGCTCTATCAAGTGAGATACAAATGGAGTCAATACCATATTGTATTAAATAAAAGTTGGAACTTTATATATAATCTGCAGTACAGTTCGGGCAAGCCGTTTGCAATGTTTAAAAGTAAAAAATTTTAACCGACTTCAAAAAAGGTGGAGGTTCTCTATTCGACTGTATGGTTTTTTTGTTTGTGTTACGCGATAACTTTGTGAACCGATTTTGATGATTTTTTTTTTGTTGGAAAGAGGGTACCTCATAAGTGGTCCCATTTCGATTTGAAAAACATTTTCCACCTCTAAGAGTGGCAAACTAGGGGACGAATCCGGTTTCGCGCACTTTCCGATAACCGATTTCAATAAAACTTGGCAAATAAATATAATTCCACGAACTTTTCAGTTTTTTCAGTACTCTGTACTGAGATTATTCGAGTATTACAAACCGTGCAAAAAAAACAAACCATGGATTCTAAACGATAAACATACACTTAAACAATAATAAACTTATTTACATTAATTATTTTATTGGAATGATATTGACGCACGCATTTATTGTTCATATCGCATTTTGATCCAAACACGCTATATATACATATCTACTTACAATCATATGAATAAAATATAAACAAAACATAATTATGTATACATATGTATTGCAAGTATTAATTTGTTTAACAGTTGTATACTGTTTATTTATAAAGGCTTCATATTCACATGGTTGATCAACGTATTAGAGATCAGCTCTTAGTTCCTGCACTGCCTGTATTTTGGACACCTTGTTGTCGCGGAGGTCCATTTAATAAGACCCTAAATGTTAATTAACACGAATTAAACACTGTTTAAGAAATTTCCGAAAACTGGACCAAAAACTGAAAATCTGATAGTTTTGTACAGCAGGACATTAAAATTAAAAGTCGCAAACAATTTCGATGAACAATAATAAAAAAGTCGTAATTATTCGTGGAAAATCAGACACAAAGCTAACCAGGGTCCATTCAGAACGTTACGATAGCTCTGTTGTCGACTGATTCGATTTGATATCGTACGATTTCTTTTCATTTTTACTCACAACACCCGTATCGAACGTCAAACTATCGTGGGGTCTACTCTCGATCTCCGTCCGACATCCGTCCGAAACAATTACTGTCAAATAAGTAATATTCGACAAAATTAAAAGACAAGTATCCAGTATGGAGCTTCATTCGTATCAAGCGTCTTTTCATTTGGTCAAGTATTGCTTATTTCGCAGTAATTGTTTCGGACGGATGTCGGACGGAGATCGAGAGTAGACCCCCGTATTCGAAACCGAACCGAAATGACGTCACACCCGTACGATTACTCGAGCTTCTCGACCGGCAAAGGCTACAAACGTTATTCAGAACACAGTAATCGAATGAAAGTTACCGAACGTCCTATTGTTTACAAAGCAAGAATGTAATATGGAAATCTCTTATTATTTTAAATAAAGTCCGGATTTTGTTCAATTTTAATAATTTATTTTAATGCAAGACTAATGCATTCCAATGTTTTAAGACATTAAAGTCTTAAAAATGTATATAAAAGGATTTTCATTTTTCTTATAATCTATTTCACCGACTGTTTCGTAAACTCGTACGTTTAACTCGAATGTTCTGAATAGCTCGGAAAGCATCCTTCGATTCAGACGTCGAAACCGCTAGATTGGTTTACTTCAGCTACTTTCACAGTCTAATGACATACGGCATTTTGCTTTGGGGTAATGCCACCGATATCAATAGAATCTTTGTTCTGCAGAAACGTGCAGTTAGGGCAATTTACAATCTGGGCCCCAGAGTATCTTTGAGAGATAAGTTTAAGGAAATTAATATTCTTACACTAGCGTCACAGTACATCTATGAAAATGTAATTTATGTTAAGAGGAATAGTAATCTCTTTATGAAAAATAGTGACAGACATAACATTAACTCGTCGTCTTCACAAAGTGACAAATTCGTTTAAGGGGCAATGTATACGCTTCTATAACAAGACTCCGGTTGATATACAAAATTTGCCATTCATGAGATTTAAAACTATAGTGAAACAAAAACTTTATACTCAAGGTTATTACACAACTTCTGCGCACTTGGATGACAAAAATCCGTGGTTGTAACCCGTTTAGCTCATGGAGGTAGTATCGATCTCTGATGTTTGAAAGCAAAACAAAAAATATATTGTAAATGTTGAATGCCTACAAATGTTATTTACAAAGAGCAATCCCTAGAGTTTCTTACTCATTCTTCTCAGGGGAATCTGCCTTACGAATGAGCGGTAGAGTTTAACCAATGTGACGATTTCAAGTGTAATAATGTTTACCTATGAAATAAAGATTATTTTGATTTTGATTTTTGATTTAGAACGATATCCAATCGTACCATTCGGTTAAAATATCGAAGAGTTCGGAATTGGGGTCCAGCGTTATAATGCGATGTATTTCGAAAGGCTGGATCCATAACCTTTAAACCTGCTCTATACTAGGAAACCGTCATAATCTGGTGATTTAACCTACCGCCTTTCAAGCAGAGGGGGAGGGTCGAATCCGGGCTCACACCTCTGAGGTTTCGGAATTAATATGCGGTTATTTTTCGATGAAGGAAAATATCGTGAGGAAACCTGCACATCGCAGAAGGTTCACAACCTCCGGAAAACGTGTCAAGTCCCCAACCCGAACTGTAGCCTAAAGCCCTCGTCTCAAAGTAGGCCCGTGCCCAGTAGCGGGACGTATAAA